TTTTCAGTGTTTAGTGTGTCCATTTTATTAAAGTTTCCATTCTTTTCGGAAGACTTGCTTTCAGTTTTTCAAAGAAATCTAAAGTGATATTTTTCCACATCTCCAAAGTTCAGTCTTAGAAGTTGTTTGCATTTTCTTTTTCTCACAATCCAAATAATCCCAAAACCACTGTTCTGGAACACCACCACCTTCTTTGTTTGATTCTTCTTTTTTGTCTATTATCTTTTCTCAGTAAAGGCTTCTTGACAGCTGCACAACGCTACACTTTCAGACTCATAGGTGGACAGAAATACTTCTGTGTTTTTCAGATTTTCCTACAAACAGAGGACATTTTTTTGCCCTGAAAATGTACGAACAAATACACAATCACATACACAGATTGCAGCATGGCTTATTATTTCAGGTTGGAGTGCTTTTCTCTTAGTGGCACATGATCAGACAACCACTCTAGCTGTCAGTACACTGAGCATGGCAGAGAAAATCAGCACAGGAGCAGAAATAACCAGGAGGACAGAACCTCTGTATTTCTACAATAGCAGATGCATTAAGCATACATTTTCAAAGAATCTGTCATAATTAGTGCCTTTGGCCCTCTCGACCTTCTATTTACTGTCAACTTTGTTTAGCTTTTACATATATATCTGTGTTATAGATAGTAAGAACACAGTCCATATCATAATGCACAAATACTGTAAGATAGATAGAAGGACATATAGACAGGCATACAGACAAACAGACAGACAGACAGACAGACAGATAGATAGATAGATAAATAGATAGATAGATAGATAGATAGATAGATAGATAGATAGAGATAGATAGATGTGAATATTTTATATGATATAGCTTAAGATCGTCATTCATCACATTTAAAATGCATATAAATATTCATATTCAAAGTATTCATTTTAGTTGAATAAAACCAGCTAAACTGCCTGTTGCCATATGAAGTGCATTTTAAGGTTGAATGGACAAACCTTTTTTTTTTTTAACAGTGTGCCTAAATGTATCCAGACATCCCTTCTAATTAGTGAATTCACACACAGCTTATTTACTCTCCATAGAAAGCAATGCCAATACAATGAGATGTTCTGAAGCAGGGAGACATGAGCCTAAGGTCACTCTATCTGAAGCAAAGCATCAGCCAGAGGGGTATAAAGCCTCCCCCCAGCATTGAGCTGCGGAGTGGTGGAACTGCATTCTCTGGAGTGATGGACCTTTGTGAACGAGAGCTAATCATCCAACATCAGTAGCTGACCTCACTAATGCTCAAGTGGTTGAATGCAATCAAATCCTCTCAGCTATGTTCCAACATCTAGTGTAAAGCCTTCCCAGAGGAGAGGCTAAGGGGGGATAATACCCTTCACTTGAGAGGAAACTTGGATGACCAGGTGTCTACTAACTGTTGGACATACAATTGCAAAAGTCTGGGCACCCCTGCATACAACTCTGTAGTGTATGTATGTATTGTTGTCTGTATCTGTTTTGACATAATGCAGAAAACAACACTACTGTAACTAATGATGTTCTAGATAAAGTGCAGACTATTAATCAATGAAGTGTCTGTGTTGCGCAGCAGAGTTGTTTGGTATGACAGTCACTCTTATATATAACCATTAATAATACCTGACATAATAATGAACACATTGTATACAATAAGCATTCCTGTAGTAATCGTTAAACCAACCTTTATGATCTTGTCAGATGTAAGTAATGTTTTTTGTAATATGTGATTAACCTCTGGTTCAGGATGGTATTTGCATTTAATCATGTCTAACTCCATTAAGCATGAAAGGCCACAATAAGCTTAAATTCCACATCAAAAAGCATAATAACAGAACGCAGCGTTCCATGCACAGGCAGGAGCTGCGGCTCGTCTGTGAATTAGTGAAGCGGTAAGCACTTCCGCTAAAAAGAGACAATAATGGAGCGCTCTGAGTCATCCTCAGCCTCATACAGGTAGGCTGAGAGCACGGGGATAACAGCCAATTAGGGCTGCCGCGATTACGCGATTAAACTCCATTAGTCGATTTTAAAAGTACTGATTAAAATGTACTTTTTAAATGAATTGACAATGATTAATTGGTAATTGTGCACAATAATGCATATAGTTTGTTTTATTAGTCTCGTTTTTGATCTTTTGAAAATGCCAGCTGCTTTACGTTCTGTGACCACTTCATAATGAAAGGTCCATTACTTGGAGGTCCATTACTTGGAGGAATTCTCATTACATTAAAGTTTAAAATGTTTTTTTGTTTTCCAATGACAATTTCATTTTTGAGGTACAAGTTTTATTAATCCAACCACAATATGCCTTATTCCATGTTTTTTCATTTTTTTCAAAGGCATTTTTCAGCATTTTTTGGAATCTTTGAGGCTGCATGGTTGCATGCATGGTTTATTATTGCCCATTTTTATTGTTTAGCCTTTTAATAAAAATCTGATTATTTGATTAACTGTCAAAATAATTTGTTTAATAGATTACTTGATTACTAATACAACCCAATTCCAAAAAATTGGGATGCTGTGTAAGATGTAAATAAAGATAAATGAAAACATAATGCAATGATTTGCAAATCTCATAGACCCATATTTTATTCACAAAACACAGAACACATATCAGATGTTGAAAGTGAGACATTTTACCATTTCATGAAAAATATTAACTCATTTAGAATTTGATGGCAGCAACACATCTCAAAAAAAGTTGGGACAGGGCCATGTTTTAACAACAGTCTATAAATGTCTGGGAAGTGAGGAGACCAATAGCTGGAGTTTTGGGAGAGGAATGTTGTCCCATTCTTGTCTGATGTAGGATTCTAAATGAGTTAATATTTTTCATGAAATGGTAAAATGTCTCACTTTCAACATCTGATATGTGCTCTATGTTCTATTGTGAATAAAATGTGGGTCTATGAGATTTGCAAATCATTGCATTCTGCTTTTATTTACATTAATTTATATTTTACACAGCATCCCAACTTTTTTGGAATTGGGGTTGTAAAATTAATAGAGAAAGCCCAGGCCTGCGGCCTTTAACAGTAACAGCTGACCGAATAGCAGGTCTAGTGTGAATGAACTGCTGCTGGCTGGACGTTCAGCAGAAGGAATTAGGATTGTTGATCACGTTTATGTGTTTGAGACAAACAGCGAGGTTGTGTGGGGCAGCGAACCGATCCATATGAGCGATGGCACATAACTCACCTGAGGTTGTTTGATCAGAGAGCGGTGGCAAGATTGAGTAGAGAGAGAGGAAGAGCGAGAGAGAGAGAGAGGAAGAGAGAGAGAGGGAGGAAATGAAAGAAAAATAAAAAAGAGAGTGAGAGAAAGGGGAGAGAGGGGAGGGGAAAGAGAGAAAGAGGGAAGAAAAAATAGAATAATAAAGAGAGAAAATAGAGGAAAAGAGAAAGAAAGAGCAGGAGAAAGAGAAGGTGGAGGAAGAGAGTGATGGAGAGGGGGGAAGAAAGAGAGAAGGAGAAAAGAGCAAGAAAAAGAAAGCAATAAAGAAAAGAGGCAAAGAGGGAGAAAGTGATGTAGAGAGAAAAAAGAATGATACAAAGACAGAGTGAGTGTGAGATGAAAAATGTGACAGAAAAAGAGAAAGAGGGAAGGATGACAGAAAGGGAAAGAGAAAAATAAAAAGCATGAAAGAGAGAAAAATGGGGAGAAAGAACAAGAGGTAGAGAATAAAAAGAGTGGTAGAAATAGAGAGAAGGAGAGAAAGAGAGAGAGAGAGAGTGAGAAAGAAAAGGAAGAGAAAGAGGAAGAGAGAAAAAGAATGAGAGGGAGAAGCACAAGATGGAAAAAGAGGGAGAGAGAAAAGAGAGAGAGAAGAAAAAAGAGTGAGGGAAAAATAGAAAGAGTGACAGAAAGGGGAGAGAGGAGGAGGAGAAAGTGAGAAAGAGGTGAAAGAGGTGAAGAAAAATAGAACAATAAAGAGAGAAAAACATAGAGGAAAAGAGAAAGAAAGAGCAGAACAAATAGAAGAGGGAGGAAGAGAGTGATGGAGAGATAGAGAGAGGGGAAAAAAGAGAAAAGAAGAAAAGAGAGCAAGAAAAAGAGAAAGCAACAAATAAAGAAAAGAGGCAGAGATAAGGAGAAAGTGATGTAGAGAGAAAAAAAGAATCATTTAGAGAGAGAGTGAGAGGAAAAATGTGATAGAAAGGAGAAAGGAGGGATAGAGTGACAGTATGAAAGAGAGAAAAAAGGGGTAGATAGAACAAGAGAGAGGGAATAAAAGGAATGGTAGAGAGAGAGAAGGAAAGAATAAAAAAGAGAGAGAGAGAGAAAGTGTGTGTGAGACAGAAAAGGGAGAGAGAAAAAACAGAATGAGAGAGAGAGAGAGAGAGAGAGAGAGAGAGAGACAGAGAGACAGAGGGAGCAAGCACACACAAGTCCTGGGCAAAATAATGCAGAGCCATATAGATATTTTATACAGATACTTTTTTTTACATGTTGCTTTATATTTGTTCAGTCTGTCAGGGAGTTTACAGTAAAGTGCCTGAGGAGGAGAAATGAGGAGATTTCGATATTTTCTGAAGGATCTATCAGCCAACAGCTACTGCAGAAAGCTCACTGTGAGAGAGGGAGAAACACAGCCATGTTTGCAGCTGCACTAAACAAACCAAATCTGACATGCAAACCAATTCTGTTGGGAGGCATTTAGGTTAGTAAATGTCAGTTAAATCATTATTTACATGCATACAGAAGCAGATTCATTTGTTTCCATGCATGTGTGAGGTTACGAGCACATGATTTATTCATCCACTCGTGTAGACACTATGTGGAGACACTCATAGCCTCGTGTGCTGAAAACACTACAGAAACCTGAGCTAGAGGACATTGTACTGAGTTCAGAAAGGTCAGCGAAATGCCCCTTTCTACAGTACTGCTCTGTGACATTTGCAGAGACACAAATATAAGCATCAGTAAGATCAGGCATGACTGCTTCTCATGACTCTTGCATTAAAGCTCTCCTCCACTCTCTGCTTCCTGCGCAGGTGAAGCGGCATTTACCAAGGACAACAACTGCCTGAGCGCGGCCAAAGCCTGCAATCTGAACGACACGTGTAAGAAATACCGCTCTGCCTACATCAGCCCCTGCACCAGCAGGGTCTCCACCACTGAGGTCTGCAACAAGCGCAAGTGCCACAAGGCCCTGCGGCAGTTCTTCGACAAGGTGCCGGCCAGGCACAGCTACGGCATGCTCTTCTGCTCGTGTCCATCCGGGGACCACTCGGCCTGCTCTGAGCGCAGGCGCCAGACCATCGTTCCGGCCTGCTCTTATGAGGACAAGGACAAACCCAACTGCCTGAACCTGCAAGCCTCCTGCAAGTCTAACTACATCTGCAGGTAGGACAGGACAAAGCTTGAGGATTTTCTGCACTAAGAGGACAAATGCTGTGTCTTAGTTTGGGCTCTACATTCATACACTATACACTGTGTCCCTCACTATCTACAGCAGGAGTGTCAGACACTACAGCACTGCAGAGTTAGGCAGTCTACCTCGCTTTACAGACCCCTCAACTCATCAGCTAATTAGAGAAGACTTCCTTTAGTTTAATTCACAGCATTAAAAGAAGGAAAATGTATACAGGGTTGAGGCTTTTGGAAACTGAGTGTGACACCCCAACATAGTGCCTGAAGTCACGTACACAGGAAGTAAAATGTAAAAAGAGAGAAAGAGAATGAAAAGAGAAAGAAAAGGGGAGAGAGCAGAAGAGCGAGTGATACAGAAAGAGAATGGGGAGAAAGAGGGGAGAAAGGAAGAAGAATGATTAAGAGAGAGAGAGAGAGAGAGAGAGAGAGAGAGAGAGAGAGAGAGCGTGAGAACGAAATTTAAAGAGATATTAGGGGAGAAAGAGAGAAAGAGGGAGAGAGAAAAAAGTGACAAAGAGAGAGAGAATGAGAGCAAGAGAGAGACAGTGAGAGAGATATTAGGGGGAGAAAGTATTACGCTGGACATCAAGATTCTAAAGGGGTGCTGACATGCTTTCATGGAACAAACAAACAGCCTGGCAGTGACAATATCTTTCTTAATTTATTTGGTGAAAACCACTGCAAGTAGTTTGAAATGTTAAAGTTTTGTTTTCAGTTCATCATCCAGTTTAAGTTGTCTTTGCATGACTGTTCAGTGATAATTGTGTGAGTTCAGTGTTAATTGCGTGTGAAAATTCACCTTCAAGGGTAATAACGGCTAGATAGGTATTATTATACATTTTTAAGTGGGTTTTGTTCAAATTGTAGTGGTTTCCTAGCATACACATGACATACCTGTACATCACCGCTAATTAACAGTCCATTACTTTCCATTGCATTTCCGAGTGTGATAACAGGTGGTAATGTCACTGGAAGTCGAGGGGAACAGGTCAATTATCATGTTGCCCATGAAAGCCCTTCTCTCTAGACTGTGTCTGTGTGTAGGAGTGTATGAAAGAAGATGAGATGATACCTTGTCACTTATAGACTATGTTCAGCACCTGTGAATTGAAGTAATTTAAAAAGAACTTTTGCCCATTCTCATTGTGCTACCTAGATCTCGCCTGGCCGACTTCTTCACCAACTGCCAGCCGGAGGCTCGTTCAGTATCGGGCTGTCTGAAGGAGAGCTATGCTGACTGCCTGCTGGCTTACTCTGGTCTCATAGGTGAGTTACAGCTACAGAGAGAGCATATAACTGAGTACAGATTTATGCTGCCACAGCTGTCTGTGCTACAGTATAAACTATTTAACACTATAACACTGTTAACTACACCTTCTTACTGCCCTCATCAAACAACACATCTTCCTGTACAGTAAGAGACTTGGACATTCAAGGAAAAAGTACTTATGAAGTCTACAGATCCCTTTTAATGATAACAAAATAACATTAAAATTAAGTAACATTAAAATTAAAAATATAAAAATAAATAATATTTAACTGCAATTTATCTTATGGTTGATTTCCACAGACAGTAAATTAGTCACATTGTCCTTTACTTAATTCCAGTTTGCTTTCCTTAAAGTTTAAGGTATTCATGCCCAGTCAGTAAAATCTCCAACCACACCACTACATGGATAACATTTTACCACAACATTTACCACATTTTACTCCAGAAGAAATAGCCTCATTCCTGAAAGAATTATACAAATTTGCAACATAGCCTCTTTCAGCAGACCCCCTAGTGGCCATTCTGCTGGCAAAATGGAAATCAACTTGGATATTTTTGAATAATATAATGAAATAAAATATTTTTCCCTGCAACTCTGTTTTTGGATTATCTAGGACACTGTTGGTTCTCTGTGTGTGAAATGAGGTGGCTCAGTGTTGAGCTTCTAGCGAGTAGTGATGGGTGATAGGTGAAATAGGAGGGGTAAGTACCCCCTGTTGTGAAAACAATTCACACCACTCCACAAAGATGGCCCTGCAAAATAAAATGGTCATCACAGCTGTAGCTTTCTTCATATCCAAAAGATATGCACAACTGCCCCAATAAATAAAATAGCATTTAAACACAATAAAAATACTTTTATAAATGTTGCTTGCTCACTTTAGAAGACGGAAATCCAGTGTGCTTCCATTCCACAAATGTGCTTGTAAATCATACACATTTCCATTGAAATATTGCTGCTGTGCATTTTTTTTCGACAGCCGACCTTTACATTGTGTGATGATTGGACGAATAGAAATAATCAAAATCAAAATATTTTGCCATTTTGAAGAAGACTTTTTTTTTGGACGGCGATGATATATTCTTTCAGTGTTACTGAAGGAAAAGTGCTTAGCTAAACTGAGGGACCTCTATAACAGGTGGAAATTGCATTTTATGGCCACTGAAAAGTGTTCTACAAAATATGTTTTGCACATTTACTGACAGAATTTAGCAACTTCCCAATGGCATCCATAATAAGTGAGTTTCAAGTTAACTGATTTTCTCTTCTTTTCTAAGTACAGCATACTTTAAATCATGCTTTGTGGGAATCAATGGTTTACTACAGCGGTGGATGGAGTTAAAGTTGAAAAAACACTGAAGTTTTTCTTTAGTTCTACAACTGAGTTCATTTGAGTTGACTGGTTTGCACTGTGTTTTTGCGGCACAGGTACAGTGATGACCCCAAACTACCTTCGCTCCCCCAGCATCAGCGTGTCTCCCTGGTGTGACTGTAGCAGCAGCGGCAACGGCAAGCCAGAGTGTGACAAGTTCTCCGAATTCTTCACTAACAACCGCTGCCTCCGTGAGTTCCCCTGCTCTTGTTAATTCTGCACATCAGCAGGCTCCTACGCGTCCACTCCTGTTTGATTGACGGCTCACTCAGGGTCTGGCAGTTGTACCTCACAGTGCATTGACTGACAGGACTACACTGGGAAGTGCAGTGTGGAAGTCTGCTTTATTGCATCCTGGTGATTATTCATTATCCACACCTGTAAATCTAAAGCCTGAGCATTGTGTAAATGCTCTGCATTCGTGAGGGACAGTCAGACAGCAGCGAGACAGAGAAATCATGCTTAAGTGGGGCGAGTCAGGGAGGCTTTGACATAAAAAGGCAATAAAGTATTACTCAGGTGTCGGAGCTGGGGAAAAGTGGAAAACAGGTATTATTTTGTCAGGTAGATGGAGCGGATGCGAGGGGAGATGGGCAGGGAGGAGATGAGATGGAGGAGGTGTGTTTATGAGGCGCAAGCCTTCAGGAGAACAGCCGTGGACTTCTGTCACACTGGAAAATAACAGCGCGGTGCGGTCATTAACACACTTTACATACCGTAGTCATTAAGAAAAGGAGTTAGGACTGCACAAAGCTTAGTTATAGCAGACAATAGTGAAACACTGCTTTCTGTCTTAAAGCAGAAGTTCAGAAAAAAATAAAATTGGTAAACGTTCTGTAAATACCACATCTATAAGAATCTATAACATGTTATAACATTGTAATGCATATAGCATAATTTATAAAAATGCATGGCCATGCTTATTATACATTATGAAGTCCTAGCTTTGTATAGTGCATAACGACTAACAAACCTGCAGAGTCATAAAGACATGCTGAGCCATGCTGTGAATTCTTTTAGCAACTTATGAATTATAAATATCTGAAGTAATATATCATTGTAATTTTAACATATTTTAAAAGATCTTTTCAAGATATAAGTGACAGAATATGTCGATACAAGTGTGGATTATTATTGATAGACCGATGATATTTTAATTTAGTTAAAAGAACTTGTATTTTTATTGTATTTGTGAGCCATGAGTAAAGCAAGACATATTGAAGATCCAATCTTCCAATCTTTTACTTCTCACATGGCTGTCATTTGGGGTGGGCCTTCAATGCCAACCCCAAATGATTTGTCCATACCAGATTAGCTTTCACTTCAGACATTACATTACATTGCAGCAACTTAAGTACTCATCAGGCCCCTCCTCAAGACCCCCTTTGACATCATAGTGAGCACAAAGCTATTGTGGAGCGACAGCAGTGTGGAAAGTTAGTAGACAGCCATTATCATTATTTACTCCCTGACTGGTTCTAACATTGACCACCAGAAACCTTTGCTTTGTAAGGAGCCTTCTTTTTTGCTAGCACATCTATTTTAATTGCAGTAAGTTACATCAAGCTATCAGTGGTGTAAACTGACTTTCCCAGGTAGGGTAGTATACCCATGGCACCACTAGTTTGAACTCTGACATTTGAGTTTGATCTGAGGTTTTAGTTTGTATGTTGCATTTTTTCAGTAAATCCTTTAGTAAAAACACTTAAAACTTAACTTATTATTAGAGGAAACTGTAAATAGACTATTAAAAGAAATTATAGTGTGGCTCAGTGTTTATGACAAGACAGGTTTATTAGTGCACCATGCAAGCTAGGACTGAGATTCCTTGACATTGACAATCTAATAGTTATGTAATATAATAATACTTTTCCTAATAGTAATAATACATTATGCTAAGAATTCAAAACACATAATAAACATATAAAAGTTTTAAAGTGTGATGTATTTTATAAATATTTATAGCCACATTTATTCTGTCTAAGGTAGCTAACAAGTAATGTAAGCTTACACAACACCACTTAGCATTAAACAGCGTCAAGTTGTTGAGTAATCTCCAGTAGACTTATTTATGTGGTTTCTGACTGTATGATGTTGTTCTCCATAAAAATGGACAAAATGTCACAAAGTTAACAAACACAAAATTGTAAGTTCTTTTGTCCATTCTCATAGATAACAATGTCAGAAACCCTATGAGCGAGCCAATTTGAGATAATATAATAGCTCCACAAAGTTTGAGGCAAGTGTGATGATTTAGACACACAATTTATATAATGCTCTGGTGACTAAAAGCTTTCATTACTTGTTAGCCTTGTAGTTCCAGTGCAAACTTCAGGCCTATTCATCAAAAACTGTCAATACAGAATGTAAACTGAATAAAAATGGAAAGAATTACATAATTATTAATTAAGTAGAAATTTAAATAGTTAAATAGTATGTTATAATCATTGCAAAGCAATTCTAACAACTGCAGTGGAAAATCAATGTATGACAAAACAACAATAATAATGAATCCTGAGTCTTAAACTCTCAGGTTTACAGTGAGCCTTTAACCTTAGATGGGGAGCAGGTGAAGAATTGCTATTACAGTACGTGGTATGACTGTTAAAATCTTTCCCTCACTGTAAAAAGAAATATGAAGGTAACATTCAAGCAAAAATGCAGGGAAATGCAGGGAGATGCTCTGGCTAATCCACATTACATCATTTAGCCCTCTCGCCTCCATAATATCCCCGAAATGACACCACTAACTTTACTTATAAGATTTATGATAATATAAGACTTATAAGATAACCGGAAAGCTGTGCCAAGGGAATAGAGTGCACAGATACAGATCGATGGACTATTGTGCTGAGAGGCAGACATTACACTTACAGAGCCAGTGATGCACAATGATGAAGCACAATAGAGCCAAAAGGCTTACGTGGCATAGCGTCTATCGACGTCGTCAGTGCTGTACCTTAGGTCAGAAGAGCCACCCGCTCAGAGTTTGGAAAGCTCTCACTCCTTTGTACCAATCAGTGGCACCCCCACCACCACCATCTCCCCAGACTCAGAGCTGTTGCAAAAGAGAGGCTGCACAAAGTATTAAATGGAGAGATGCCAATAATTGTGGCATAGACAGATTTGAGAAAGATATTTATTTCATGATAAGATACTTAAAATAAAGGTTAGATTTTTGTTAATGTCTTGAATGAAAGATCAAAAGGATAAGCAATGAAGAATGTTTTTACAGACTGTTTTGCTCATGTTCACTGAGGGTGCCAATATTTGTGAAGGACACTGTATGTAAGTAACCTCTGCTCTGATTGGCTGCCCTGTATTGTTCCTCATTCAAAAAGCAGTTCAGGCTGAAACACTCATGCCTTAATGGGAAGTATGTAAATTAGTTTTCATGACATCATAAAAATGAATTAATTATCACGAGGGCTGCTTTTCCAGCTTAGTTTCTATATACTGACAGGGGAGTGAATGATACATTTTAAAATTCTACCAATGTTCATATACTCCACTGAACTCTAGTTTTCTGTGATAGGGGCCCTTTAAATTAAATCAAGTGTGCTGGTGGTGGACTTCAACAAATCAGTGTGATGGCTAACGGCATCCAGGAGACATCCGGATTTGTGTTCTCCTAACTAGCTCATAAAATAACAATTACATTTTTAATGTAATTCATGATACTTTTTAATGTATTTGTGTTATTTGTACTTATTCTAGTAGTACAAAAACAGTGGAATGTTTCTATATTTAGTAAGAATAAGCCCCGCACTGATGTTGGTTAGACCTGTTTTTCTGAGATTTTTCTAGAAAATCAGGATATGTGTACGTGTGGATACACTTGCAGCGTCTTGTATGTCCTTTATCCTTTTACACAGACTAAACAAACAGAGAGGAAGAGGGAAGAATGTCCTTTCAAGGTGGTTTAAAGAATGAAGTTGTTTTAAAAGAGGCATCTCTGTTATAATGATCCTCCATTTTATCACCCAAAAATTGTACAGCTCTCCTGAGGCCTGTATGTTGGAATAGTAATGCCCCTGTATGGAGACTCTACGCAGCGTGAGGATCTTTATCAGCTTATCGGCTCTGGCACTGAATGGAGTGGACCAAACCTATTAATATTAGCTCCACACAAAACAAACAGAGATGAATGTAATTCCTCTGTCAGCACAGTAGCTGTGCGTGTGCAGCGTGTTAATATGCACCTGTGGCTCTGTGTGTACCTCCTGTAGGTAATGCCATCCAGGCGTTTGGTAATGGTACAGATGTTGGGGTGTGGCAACCCCAGCCTCCAATCCCACCCACTGCCCCCCACCCCAACACCCCTCAGAGAGGACGGGACAGGATGTCTAACGCGTTGGATGACCAAACACTCTCCAATGACCTGGACCCCAGCAATGACCACCTCTACAGCTTCTGTGGAAGCCTGCAGGTAAGAGGAGCATGACAAGTGCAATGATTTGCATTTCACTTCGAGAATGTGAAATTGTCACATGATTTATTTTTGATATTTTATGACAGAAAGTCAAAGACAAATAAATGAAAGAGCAGGAGTTTCCAAAACTAGAGTTCAATACTTTTTAAAAATAGAACTCCTATCAATGGTGCAAGACCAGGTAGACCACCAAAACTGACACCATCAGATAAACAGCACTTAAAGCTTTCTGAGAGAGAGGAGAAAATCAAGCTCCACTTTTACTCCAGATCTGAAAAAAATCCACAGGTGTTTCTGTCCAACCTTCCACTGTTAGAAGACTACTCAACACTATGAGTCTGAAAGGATGTGTAGGTGTCAATCAGCTGGGAAAAAAAAAGAAAATTTTCACTAGAGCAGCTGAACTTGCCATGTTAAATGTGGAGTAAGATTTTTTTGATGAGTGTGAATTTATCATTGAGACTACTTAGACTGTAAAATTACAAGTGACTTTGGTTTCTGTATAATTAATTCTGTATAAATATCTACTAAATAGGTTTTCTGAAATTGAATGACTTGTACTTTATTGCAGATTTGACTGTATTTACAGTAATGTTTGACAAGTTGTCTGCCTTGAGATTTTATCACTGCTTATGAAACATGAGGCTTTCTGTTTTAACTTTAACTTAATTTTGGATGCCTTTTCAATCATTTTAGAATCTTCTAAATTTCTGTGCATCATTCTGATTGGTTGATTGTTTGTTTGTTTAATTTATTTATTTATTTATTTACAACTTCCTAGTTTTCTCCCACTTCTGTGAGAGCTGTAAAGTTCCACACGACTAGCATATTAGAATCGTTAAATACAGTCATGCAAAAGTTTGGGCAACCTGGTCCAATGGCATTTTTTATTTTATAACTGAAAATTAGTGAACACATCCTCTATAGAGAACACACTTTTAATGCACTATTACTGTTTACTTTATTTGACATACTGGAATAAACAAAACATTGTGGGGCCTATGCAAAAGTTATGGCACATTTTATAGTTTTTGTTTTTTTTCCAGTTTGTTAAACTCCGAAATTAAAAGGGAACTATGCACCCAAAAAATGCAGTAAAGGCAGTCTTTAAGTTTGTTCACTCCAGAGGATGTATTAACATTTTTTTTCTTTCTTTCTCCAATTTTCTCCTCAATTTTGTCTTCTCCAATTCCACCCACTAGTTAGGACTCCCCCAGTCACACCATACTACCAATGTTAGGAGGACGAAGGCCAACACAGGCTTCCTCCGAGACCTGTGAAGCGCCACCGCGTCTTTTCAAACTGCCGCTCACGCAGCGTCACTGGACAGCAGAATGCGCTCGGAGGAAAGCGCCAACTGCCAGATCTGTTACGTCAACTAACAGACGCCTGCGCTGACTAGCAGCGCGTTGAGCAATGGGGGAAGAGGGGGTGATAGGGCCAACTCTTAGATGATTGCGCCACCCAGGAGCCCCCCAACAAGTAGTAACTTATTTTTTGACACAGAAAATCAACAAAACATGTCATTTGAGTGTTCAAACTTCTGCATATGACTGTCTGCAACCAAAGCAGCTTTATATTGATTCCAATATAATAATTAGCCATTGTAGCTAAGAGGGTTTAAAGTTTAAATGAGTGGCTAGAACCTTTATTTATTCTGTCTACAGTGGGATCAGTCTGTGTGAAGACACCTCAGTGACTTTCACACAGCCTATGTTCTTGCAAGTCGTGACACACAATTAGTAATAACTGTTGATTAGGCCAAGCTGAGTGAGCGACACTGACTGCTAGCACAGTTCAGAGCTTTTTTCCTGGATGCTTCACTCTGTGAAGCACTGACTGAGTTGTGCCAGTCAGGAGATGCCACACGCAGCACACAGTGCCACTCACACACACAGCAGTGCCCCTTCACAGCCGGTGCGTGACCTGTGTTGACTTTACAAACAGCTGGGAGCCTGTTTACAGATGAAGTTTTGCATGTGATGCCTTTCACTCAACGTGAGACATTGGCTCACTTTTGATTGATGGGTCTGGGCCGGCACATTGATAACACACACATACTCTCACACACACAGAAGCCCTGTGGGTAGAAATAAGATACATCAAACTGCCAGAGCTGCCATGTCACGCCTAATTGGCTGTCGCATTAACATAAGGAAAACCCTTAAGCAGGAGCTACCCAACCATAACATTTCTCCCTTCACACCAGCAGCACTGAGACTCCACTGAGGATAGCATATCTTCCCCCCTCATCTGCCTCGTCTGACTCTGCCAGGCCTGGCAGGCAGCTTCAGACAGGCTTGAGAAACACATACCCAGACTCAGAGAAGACTCCGTTTATTACCATGTGGCTCGCTCATATATCAAGATTTCAGAACTTCCAAAGATGATTAAAAAGCAGGGATGCAGAATGATATGGGAATCATATCAATGTCAGCAGATAATTCTTTAAAAAAAAATCCAGCAACAGACAGATTTGAGAGATCTTTTCAAAACCGGTATTTGATGAAGCATTTACTGTTTTCCAGAAGAGCAGAATGTTTAGGTGATGCAGGGCTACTGTGCTAAAATGTCTGCTTAATGCATTTGTCTACAAATATATTAGGGGAGAGCAGCAAAAACTAATGTTAGGTAAAATGTGAAAACGTTTTGCAGTATTCCAATACAATGTGCATCCTGAAGTCTGAAGTCATGAGTCTGTAGTCGGTGTCATGTTAGGAACTCTGGGACAAAGCTGATTTTTTCAATGACAGTTTTTATTAAATCACCACTGTCGCGCCCTGTGTTACACAAAAACATTCAAAGGCCAATGGATTTCTGACATTTTTCCTCCAAACGTCATCAGATCCTCTGAATTACATGGTCAATAAGGTAAAATGTGTCTATTGCTACACGCAAGCTATCAATGCTGTGCACTGGACTGACCTTATATGATTGGAAACCACACTAAAATACCCCACACTAACCAGTTTTTTAAAGTGTGGTAGTTTAGTGGCTCTTTAGTTGTAGCCTGAATTTGAGTAGCTGGTGTTTGTATATAATAGTGTTTATTAGTTGACTTTTTTATGCAACATCATTTCAGTGTGAAGTGGTGTTTGCTTGCTTAATATTACTTGTATTCTGACTGCTAAAAGACCTTGTAATTCCAAGCACCCAGTGACCCAATGAAAAATGTACAGAGGACAAAGTATCAGCTTTGATTATGATTTTTGAAAGTGCCATTCATTTTTTCATATACGGGAACAAATTATTTAGTTTTTTAACTCATAAAGGAAGTTACCTGGCTTCTAATGGGAAGTGTGTGTTTTACATTTTGTTAACTCACAATTAGAAGTTCAGCGAAGTGAAAATTTTAAGTCAACCAGGTTACTAAACTGGTTAAAACATTGAATCAGTTTCTACATAGTAGAGAAAACCAGGTTAGACACAGAGTTCCTAATATAGGCATGACTCCAAATACAGAATTTCTTAATACGTTTCTTGCTTTTGTACCACATAAGTAATCTCAGTTGGTGGCTTAAATGTAGCGCTGTTTTGAAGCATGTAACTCACAGTCAGAGCAAGCTAGGCTAAAGTAGAGCCTCCACAAGAAGACGATAGTTTTAACTTAGCCATTCAAAGTAAACAATGAGAGTTCTCCATTACCCCCATATAAATTCAAAGCAGTTTATTTTTAGGAACATTTTATTCACAGATCCATTAAATATGTATTATAGTTGTAAAATGGCCTGTAGAAATTAAAGCAGGGACCCTCATCCCCACCTCCACCCCGCGCTTTGCATTTTGGACCTGCAGTTTTTTATCACACAGGTTTGAAAGCTCACCTTATTTAAGCAATAAAGGGCTGTAACTAAGTAATTGTGCCTGCATTCATATAATAGCAATAATATTTGTAATAATTTTCCAGCAAATGTTACAAATAGCTCCTCAGTCAGTTACAATGAAGAGGTTATATAATAAGTGATACTAAGTTGTAATGTCGCCACTCGTGGCACTTTCAGCAGAATTTTTAAAAATAGTGGGTGCTGGAAACAAAATTTCCATTTTCATTTGAAGTAGATGATAATAATAGATAATATTTTTGTATAAAAAATATAGATTGTGCTCAAATTTTTTTTATTTTTTTGCAAAAAAAAAAAATGTATTAGGTTGTGGCTCCTGCAGTATCAGTACAGACACTGACATATGTACATGGAAACTAATGGATACTGGAATACTGGCAGAGAATTCCCAAATTGGTGCACCCCTCTCACAACATTTTTGAGTAAGCCTATGCTTACGCACTTTCCAAATGTGGAGACCTTTACAGCCAAATCCGATCGCCTTAGATATACTCTTATACCTTTAGCACAACTATTCATCATATTGTTTTAATACTGATAATATGATTTATTAGTGGGCGCAGTCTCTTCAGCAGGATAGACCTCCGGGAAGGCCATTAATCATTCTTTCCCACAATCCTATTCCCATAGAATTAGTTCCATTCTCTCTATTGTGCAGCAGGTTTATTATGTTCTAAACTCTCTATGGAATCACTTTATCATGCCACCAAATCCCATCTCTCTGCGTGTGTGTGTACGGAAAGTGAAAAGCACAGCAAAGTTTCATAAAACTGGCTATTATAATGTATTGGTCTGTCACACACACTAATGCAGTCAGTGCTACCGGAAAACAAGCACACACAGCAGCGGATCGATCTGTGAGCAATAGGCCCAGCGAGAGTTCACTGCAGTCAGTGCAGCCTATAGCGCTCATTATGGTAACATTACACTTCTTTAGAGGAGCACTACTCTGAGGGCTCACTGACCACTGGGAAGAGCAGACTATTACCCTGTCGGCCTGAGCCAGAGGAGGCCAAACTCTTTCACACTGAAAGGCTATGAGTCCCTGCAGCTAGACCAAATAGAACAACTTCTATCATCTCCATCACTCAAACGTAATGGGTCTCTCTGTTAATGCACATTTCATTCACTTTCTTTTGGTCTTCTTCCTTTCTCTCCAGGCTCAGAAACTAAAGGCCAATGTCACAATAGATGTTCTGTGCATGGTGAGTTCAACTCATGTTTAAACATCTTTTAACATTTTGTATTCAAATTTACATACACAGAATACAGTAGTGGTCACATCTTTGAACTAAGCTACAGGATAAACAGTCCACTCTATAATTAATGGCTCCCTCAGTGCTGATGGGTAGAAAAAGGTAATGAAAAACTCTTTTTGTGGTTAACTACACTAAAACACATCTCACACTTAAAATATGAGAGAAATCTAACCTTTAATTTAAGTAGATGCCACCCTATAACAATTATCAATCATAATTATTGGCACTCCTGCATGTACTAGTTTGTGCAGCCTCTCTTTGCCAACATAACAGCAAGAGTCTTCTCTTATAATGCTTAATGAGATTGGAGAATACAGAGCAGGAGACTCTTCTTTAATACAGAATCTCTTAAAATCCTCTCTTTTTCAGTGGGGTTTAGATCGGTGGACTGAGATGGCCATGTCAAAAGCTTGATTATGTGCTCATTGAACCAATTTTCTGTGGATTTGGATGTATATTTTGGATCATTCTCCTGCTGGAAGATCCAACTAGGACCCAGTTTATCTTTTTGGCAGAGGCAGCCAGATTTTCATTTATAATCACTCCTGGCACTTCATGGAGTCCATGATGCCATATGTTTTAACAAGGTTCTCGGGGCCTTTGGAGAAAAAACAAGCTTAAAACACTTAGATCCTCCAACATACTTAACAGTGGAGATCATTTTCTTTTTTTATACTAAACCTACTGAGCGTCTGTTGCCAAAATGTTCTATTTTTGTCTCCTCTGATCATAGAGCCCAGTTCCAGTCTAGATTTTAGTAGTGTATAGCAAACTTCAAGTGCTTACATTATTGGTTAGATTATTTAAAAAGTTTTCTTTTTTACATTGCAAATAGTTCCTTTTGCATGGAGGATTCTAATTGTAGATTTGGACATATGGTGACCCTGAAATTCTCTGCAAATCTCCAACTGTGGTCCTTGAAGAAATTCTTGCTTCTCTAAACATCCTCCTCACTGTGTGATGGGGACAAAATAAACATGCATCCTGTTAAACTTATTAATTATGGCCCTAACAGTGGATATGGGCATCTTCAGACATCAGTTGTTCTTTTACAGCTATTTTTTTTTTTGCAGCCTCTGTCTGGTTTGTGAAGGTCAATGCACTTTTGTCTCATTTAGTTTGTGCATTCTCTAATCTTCCACTTGGTGGTGAATGACTAAGGGAAGAGAACAGGGGACATGTGGTTGTGGCACAGTTTTGTTAACAAATATTTTGAAAAAGCGTTTCTTAGACTAGATTTATTTCAATTAAAGGTTAGATTCCTCTCATATTTTCAATGTGAGATTAAGCTAATTACTTACAAAGCCATTTTTATTTTAACCCATCTTTACTAAAGTTGCCAGTAATTATGGAACTGGCTGTACATCAAAAGCTTGGGGACACCTATTGTCTTAAACTGTTTTAACTATAAATAAGCACTGTGTAAGTTGTCATTGTCATATCAGAACCATAAATGGTTTTTAACCATTTGAAAACACTAGTTATCCTTTACATTATGTGAACATTTCATGATGAATAAACTGAAAGAAACATAGTACAAAATTACTTGGAATAAAAATCTTGTTGCATTGACTTACATTAAGATTTGGGACTTTTATGAAGTTACCATTTTGGACGTGTAATAATTTGTTATAGCAGCAGCAAAATATTTATGACAATATTTGTGACAGTGCTACCAAACCACTGCCAAAATGGTTTCTGCTCCAAAACTATCAAATTATTAGGCATAACCTTCCCTTCATACTTATCACACATACATTATATAATTGAATAGCAACAGCAAAAGAAAGCATAGTATCCCCAAACTTTTGACAGGCGGTGTAGAATACTAAGTAAAAACCAACAAATCAGCAATGAAAACGGCAGTGTCTACGTCGATTAAAACATGAGCTCTTACCTTCCTGTGTTCCATAGGACCCTCCTCTGGCTGACCCCAGCAGCTTTAACGCTATAGCAGGGAGCTCAGCCAGCCTTGTCCACTCTGCGGCCGTCCACGTGTTGCTGCTGGCTTCGCTCTCCGCTCTCCAGCTCCACAAGGCCCTGCTTTTGTAGCCCATCCCCAAGTCGGACTGCTCTGTATCATATTCACCACTCTGTCGTATTTGATCTTCTCCTGCAAGTGATGCTGTACGAGGTGTGATGTCTACTTGTGCTAAAGCTGCTTTTTCTTTCTGAAAAATGGATTTTTCTCCTTTCAAATGGAGGACCAGTGCCGATAGACAGAGACGGAGGTGGAGTTGTTGATGTGCAAATGAAGAGTCACTAATCAACTTCTTTTGTGAAACTGGACTCCCAGTCTTCTATACTGTGTTGGAAATGATATGTTTTTCTTCAGCCATCAGGACAAGAACTTTGTTGTCCATAAGGGACGTTGAAAAAGAGTCACAATGAAAATTGGGGATCACGAAAGACGACAAGATGACCCTCCACTTTTTGGGCAACGGGAGCAGACTACAACATGAACAGACATTAATTTCCTCTTTCCGTGATATTAGAGAAAAGTGTGTGAACGTTTGGGCTAAGCTGCACTCAAAGTCCCACATCTCTCAGAAAAGTATCTGCCAACTAATCCTGTCCACTGCCTCTTTTATGATGAGTACTGTCTCTTCTATCTGGCTCTAGTATGACTGATACATACAGAGCCACAGGATACAAGGTGTGGACACACATTGCAAGACAGAAAGGCAGACGGACAGGCGAACGAAGTCTTTTGGAACCTTCAGAATTGACCTATTCATGCTCACACAAATATGTTCTTTGGTAGCAACTGTTGCTGGCTTTATAGACTGTTGGCAAAAGACCAATTCAACTCAGTTACCTAAATTTAAAGTGTTTTTAATTTTGAAATTTGTGGTTCCCTGGCCAGGCAATCAGGGTTCTTTCTGTGTGGAATTGGCATGTTCTCCCTGTGTCTGTGTGGGTTTCCTCCAGGTGCTCTAGTTTCCTCCCAGAGTCCAAAGACACACAGTCCTGCCAACTGGATATGCTAAATTGCCCCTGTGATTGTGTGGGTGAATGTATATGTCTGTATGTCCAGGGTGTTTCCTGCCTTCCGCCCAATGACCACCGGGATAGGCTCCAGGACCCCCAGCAACCCAGAAGGATAAGCGGCTTAGAAAATGTGTGTGTGTGTGTGGGTATCAGTCTACTTTTGACAAGCTACAACAACACAGTCTAGCTCAGTAGTATAGCACTTAAAACTGGAAATCAAATTTTATGTAATGAATCTAAACTCTGGCCCAAATTCTTTAAGTTGAATGGGTTTTTTGCCAACATTCTGTAAAGAATGTCCAACCTCGCAATAGTAGCAATGACAGAATGCATTAGAGGGCAGAGCATAGAGAGATCAATTCTCTTATCATTATGGACTTCTGATTCATTCACTGTCATCTAAGGTACACTTTCTTTTATGAGAAGAATGTTTATCATGCAGTTTTTGAGAAGAAAAAAATATTAGTCTGATCATCCGCTTGTATAATACCGGCCTTTGTTTATGATGCCGCCTAATTTCTGTTCTTACAAATTTAGCACATTTATGCCATTCTATCAGAACTGCTGTGTACAATATCATCTGATGTGTTTTAACCGTGTACATGAGTGTTGAGTCACAGAAAAGTGTACAAAGGTTGATGATTCAATCTAGTGTACCCATATGTAAAACGTGCTGTACAGTAAGTGAACATGGTTTCTCTCTCGCTCTCTTTTCAATGAGGTGCCCTAAAAGCATTTCAGCATTGTTGTGGTACTGTTAACTGTAAGAGTAAACAAATAAATAAATACACATGTATAACAGGGCTGTAAGAACTGAAAGGGGGCTGAAGAACACATTAAATAAGGCAGAGAAGTCCCTTTAATCTCTGTGATGTCTTTTAAATCCCACTCGCTCATTCAAAACACATACATTGGCATCAAACAAAGCCATATCAAGCCTATATAATTTTAACAAAAAACGTCACGTTGCCGCTGTCGATTGTATCTCCATTTTTGTCATTTTGTGCTTTTATACAGAACTTGAAAAGGCAAGCTGACCTTTACAATGTGCCAAAAGTTCATAATGAATGAACCAATAGAAATGCAATAGAAGTGCTTGGAAAAATCTAGTTCCATTAACTTCGATTCAAAGTTAAGAATGTTTTTTCTTTCTCCTGTAAAGTCCGACAGCAGCAATATATAGTTTTTTGTTTGAAGGGCTGAATTGTAAAAATGCCAAACAATACAAATGGACTGAACAAATGAAATAGCTGAAATAGTTCACTGTAGAGAAGGTTACCGTCTCTTACCGGTTTTCTGTACAGAGGTTGTGGCACCAGGGGTCACAATGTCTTTGATGCAAATATACTCATTTTATTTACTATACAAAACAAAGAACACACACCTTTTTCGAGTTGTAATATATAATATCGATAATGATAAAAGAAAGGTTAAAAAATATATTTCTTTGGATAGTATTTTGCTTCACAGCATCATGCATGTACCTTTCTGCCATGAATGCACTTTAAACAAAAAATGTTTTAGGCCTAACCTTCTCAAACCTGTCGCAAAACAACATCTCAGGCATTAGGCAACATATATGTATCTATTTAATATAATAGCATTCTGTGAAGGAGCTTTTAGATCCATTAAATGCTTCAGATGTTCTGTGATCTGTGCAATTTCACTCTAAAATATACACACTCACTGAGCACTATTATTAAGTACACTTATTAAGTACACCTACCTTGTATCTACGCTCATTGTTTATTTTATCAGCTCCTCTTACCAGATAGGAGCACTTTGTAGTTCTACAAGTACAGACTGTAGTCCATCTGTTTCTCTGCAGTCCATCTGTTTCTTTTATCACAAAGCAGGTATTATTTGGCTGGTGGTCATTGTCAGCACTGCAGTGACACTGATGTGGTGTTGATGTGTCAGTGTTTGTTGTGCTGATATGATATGTTGAGTGGATCAGACACAGCACTGCTGCTGGAGTTTTTAAACACTGCGTCCACTCACTGTCCACTCCATCAGACACACCGACCTTGTTTCTTCCCCTTTGCAGATGTAAAGTCAGAGACGATAGCTCAACTGTTGCTGCACAGTTTGTGTTGGTCGTTCTCTAGTCCTTCATCAGTGGTCACAGGACACTGCCCACAGGACGCAGTTGGCTGGATATTTTTAGTTGGTGGACTATTCTCAGTCTATCAGTAACAGTGCAACACACACTAACACGCCACCACCACGTCAGTGTCACTGCAGTGCTGAGAGTGATCCGCCACCCAAATAGTACCTGCTCCACATTGGTCCTGTGGGGGTCCTGAAAGTGGGATAACAAAACATGAAGAGAAACAGTCTAATTGTAGAACTACAAAGTGCTGCTATATGGTAAGTGGAGCTGATAAAATGGACAGTGAGTGTAGATGCAAGGTAAGCATAGGGCTCAGTGTGTGTGTGTATATATATATATATATATATATATATATATATATATATAGCTTAACTGTAACCTGGTTATACAAGAGAGACTTTGTTGCTTTTGGCACAATCACTGTATATATATATATATATATATATATATATATATATATATATATATACAGTGATTGTGCCAAAAGCAACAAAGTCTCTCTTGTATAACCAGTTTACAGTTAAGCTTTGGTACTGAACACGCAAATTCCAATTTTCCTAACTTGATATCCTTCTGCCAGAGAACTGATTTAAGAGAACTACTCTAATATATATTTCTGCTTGGTCATATCATTCTGGACAGAAACTGAGGCACTGCTGATCAAACACAATAAAACTTGTCGGAAGCCATGTGATATTTTCCAACCATTACATTTTAAAACATTTAAGTTGACACTTAAATGGGGTGTCATAAATGCTGTCTTGGTTTTAGTGACATCCTATCACTTTGATGGATGACTCAAGTTCTCTCTCTCATCCTCGGCAGCTGTAAAAAGCTTAAAGCGGTGTTTGTTTTAGATGTGGCGCCGTAAGCGTGCTGTAAAAAAATGGAAATATGGGTCACTTTGCACCATAAAAGAGGTACTTAACCTCAACGAAGAGGCTCATGACATTCAAATGATCAGGGCAATGTAGCATCACAAACAAGCATGAGCGTGAAATGTGGTTATTTTCAGCAGCCACACCTTAAGCCTTATCCAGAGCATTATTGAGCCTGGCCTTTTCAGACTGATGGGGGCCTGGGCAGAAATAGATTGAGTTTTCCAGTATTGTGTCATATGTGCCTCAGGGCTGTGTTACCTAGGATGTCCACCTGCATTGTTGCGGATCGAGTGCTACCTCAGTGTCTGCTCCGCTTATCAGCCTGTATTAACTCAGGACTCCTAGCAGGCAGGATTAAGTGATAATAGGGGACACGGCATGATTGTCAGTCAGATCACATCAGTTCCCTCCACCGGGGACAATAACACACACAAGGACGTGGCCCTGTCTCCGTCACGTACTCCCAACGCCAGACTGAGGCGTGGCGTTTTCCTTTTTTTAACAACAGCCGGTCGGTAGCCATTACCTCAGACATTATGATTGAGCGAGTGTTCACAAGTGTGGTCAAGGATTTATTGAAGGGCCTATTATCATGAAAAAATCCTTGTTGTTTTTTAATAAAAGTTTCACCTCCCAGTCTATATATGGAAAATGAGCTGTAAACACAGCCCATGAATTAAATTTGTTCTATTTGTAATGTCACAAAAACCAACACATTTACATATACCCCCTTATCCAGCCTCCAGCAGTTTAGCCCCATTCATGTTAAAGTTATAAGAAGTGATTTTTGAATGAGGCACAAAACAGAACAGCCAATTAGAAAACAGATAATTAACATACAGCACTGTGCAGAGGTCAGAGACCTCCCTTCATTTATTTATTCAGTCAAAACCACCAAAAAGATGTTCAACACTATGAGTCTAAAAGGATGTGTACCTGTCAAGAAGCCGCTACTGAGAAAAGAAAAAAAGACAAAAAAGAAAATTTGCAAATCAAACAAAGAAGCTGCTGGTGTTCTCAAAACTACAGACTGACCACCCCTAATGCAACCAACTTCTAAGACTGAACTTTAGAGATATGATGGCAGATTTATTTTAAAAACTAAAAGCAAGTTTCCTGAAAAGATAATAAAGGTAATATAGGCAAAAGATGCACATACTACATACTGGAAAGATGGCCATTTTGACTGGAAATTAAACAAATGAAGGGTGATTTCTGACTTTCGCACAGCACTGTACATGAGTTTTAATGGCAGAGTAAAACAAAAACAGCCTGTTTAATTCTAAGAAATAAAGAGAGGCTGGACAATGGTCCTGTAAAAATTAATTATGACTGATTTTGGTACAAACAACCACACAAAAGTGGACCTTAGGGGGAAAAAGTGATATGTGGGTGGTTTAAAAGTGCCCGCACTAGAAAAAAATGAATTTATGCTAAATTCATATAGTCGGAACAAAAAGTCAGGCAAGATTTAATAAGATACCACAAAGTCTATTGTGAGGAATCCAAATGCTTCATTGTAACCAGCTTCACAGATCAGCATTGAGCCACATTATGAGCTGCCAATGAAAAGCAAAATGATACGGGAGCAAATAAATGAATGATGTTATGAGACGGGTGTCTGTTCTGTGCTCAGATAACTGTTCAATAAGAGAGCAACACTGATTAGAAGGCAATACATTCCTCTATACACATATATCGTAGCAACAGTGCAAACCCTGGAGCGGAAAGAGAGAGAGAGAGAAGGAGAGAGAGAGACTGAGAAAGAAAGAAAGAGTGACCTGCCACGAAATAATGACTTCCTTCAAATAAAGAAGAGGAGCCAAGGAGAAGAGACAATGTAATCAGAGCACACTGTCTGCTATGAGAGAGGAAATTATATCTAATTACTTCACCTCTGAACTCGGCGCCTGACAACATCGCCCACTGTTTTTCAGAGAATGCTTTTTCTCCTGCAGCCCCCGCCGCAGCACTCACCTTTACTATTTCACAGAAAAGTGCCACTTCCAACATTATTACCTGGCTTTTTTATCTTATTGTGTGCAGTAAATGTCAGGGTGTGTGTATCTGGGCTGAGAGATCTGCAGAGAGTGGCTGTGCGGAGATGATTTCCTCCAGCGCTGGAGAAGGGCACAGGTAATAAGCCGGGATAATGATTTGACTCACTGATAATGTTGACGATGTACGAGCCCTCTTCTCCAAACTCAAACTAGAAGGTGAGACATGGGTGCACTCTCTCTCTCACCAGAGAGACAACACCAGAGAGAGAGAGAGAGAGAGAGAGAGAGAGAGAGAGAGAGAGAGAGAGAGAGAGAGAGAGAAAAGAAAGATTAGAAAGAATGAGTGAGAGAAAAGAGAGTGAAAAAAAGAGTGAGAAAGAGCAATGATGAAGAGAGATGACAAATAAGGGTTAGAGAGAAAGAGTAAAGAATAAGAGAGGGAGAAGAGAGAAAGATGAGAGAGAGAAAGAGAAGAGTGTGCGAAGAGAGAAGAGAGAAAGAAAGAAGAGAATAAGAAAGAAGGGAAGACAGAGTGAAAGAGAAAGAAAATGAGAAAAATAAATAGAGAGAGAGGGAAGAGAGAAGAGATGAGAAAACAGGAGCAAAAATAGAGAAAAAGAAATAAAAGAGTGAGGGAAAAAGAAGACAGATGGAAAGAGTAAATAGAAAAAGAGACGAGGAAAAAATAATAAGTAGAACAGAAAGTAGATGGGGCATGAGGGTAGAGAGAGCGTGAGAAAGAGAAGAGAGAAAGAAAGAGGGAGAGAACAAGAGAGGTGAGATAGAGTCTGGGAGAAGGAAAGAGTGACAGAGAGAGAAAGAGATGACAAAATAAAAGAAAGAGTCAGAGAGAGAAAAGAAAAAGAAAA